TACCAGGTCTCTACTGAATAAATATATGCACTTTGTTTTAACCATGTATTATATTTCTGTGTAATTACAAAGTTCTACTACTACAATCTTACATTCTCTCAAATGCAGACAGTATAGAACTGCTAATAAATGTTACATCTGCTCTAATGGTCCTTTATTTCTTATGTAATGAAACCTGGCCTTTCCTTTAAAGAAACACACCTCCTCTTGTAGTTGACTTCTCTATCTCGAATCCCTTGTAATTACCTCCTTACAATTCATTCCTAATTCCAAGATTATATCTGTGCCCTAAAACTCTGTGAGAAACCAACCCTGAGACTTCATGTTTTCAGCCAAAATAATTAGTTATTTCTCATGGTTCCTACAGTTCAGAAAATAGAGAATAAATTGGCCATGAGTTTCTTTCTTTTTTTTCTCTGTATTGTTTTTGGGGCCATGAGCAATGAGTTTCTTACTGGTATTTTTTTTCCTGGTAAGGATAGACCCCGCCAATATAATAATGTATTTTCCAGAACTTCTGAATTCCTTTCAATCTAGTATTAGGTAATGTTTTTTTCAGTCCTATTTCCAGAAAGGTAAACATAATTTTTTTTCTTCTTGCAGTGTGAGATGCATTGCAGTGTAGTTGTGCCTTTAATTATAGGTCCATTTTTTGAGGGCTGGAGTATATTTTTTAATATGTATGTATTTTTCCGTTTATTGAAATATAGTATATCGTAATTATAGTTTCTCTCCCTCTACTCCTCCAAGTTCCTCTCCACTCCTCTTCCATCCATGTCCATCCCTTTTCTGTCTCTCATTAGAAAACAAAGAGGCTTTTAAGGGAAAATAATAAAATATAATAAGATAAAACACAAACTAATACATGTAAGTAGGATTTAAAAATAAACAGAAGGAGAAGAGCTCAACAAAAAGAACGAGAAACACACCTTCAGGAATCCCATAAAGACACTAAATTGTAAGTCATAGTGTATACACAAAGGACTTTGATAAGAGAGAGACAGAGAGAGAGAGAGAGAGAAAGAGAGAGAGAGAGAGAGAGAGAGAGAGAGAGAGAGAGAGAGAGAGAGAGAAGTTTTTAAAAAGGAAAAGCGCTAAGCTCTGACATAACATTGTGAGACAAGGAATTTCCCAATGATGCCTATGAGTTTGTTTTCTGTTGGCCATCTACTGATGGACATGACACATTCCCTTAAGAGTTGTTTGCTTCCCCAGTGAGACTCCCTTGCAGAAAACTCAATTTTCATTTGCAAGTAGTTATCAATTGGAGATTATTCTGGGTTGGGGTGGAGACATGTGTCCATTCCTCTTTTCAGCTCCCGAGCCCTGTCTGGTGGGGACCTGTATAAGCCTTGTGCGTATTGCCTCAGTCTCTGTGGGTTCATCTGCATCTAGTTGATTTAGAAGGCCTTGTTTCCTGTGTCCTCCATCCTCTTTAGATCTTACACTAGTTCTGCTTCCACTTCCTTGGAGTTCCCTGGCCCCTGAGGGAAGGAATGTGATGGAGACATTGCATTTGTTCCCATTTGACACAGGAGGAAGCTTTTCTGATGGTGGTTATCCAAGGCACTGATCTTTGAGTATAGCAAAATGTCATTATTTTATTTTTATTTTTTATTATGTTTTATTATTATTTAGAACAGTAGTGCTTGGCTTTTCCCTAGGTCCCTGAGCTATCTAGTCTCCTTTTCTTGGTAACCAAAGCAGTGTCAGGTATGGGCTCCGTCTCATGGGGTGGACCTTAAGTCAAATCAGGTATCGGTTGGTTCTTCCCACAGACTTTATGCCACCATTGCATAGCATATCTTGTAGTCAGGACACCATTGTAGATCAAAGGGACTGTGACTAGGTTGGTGTTTATAATTCTCCTCTGGAAGCATGCAGAGTATCTTCCCCCAAGTAATGAGGGGCCACGAAAGCTAGTCTGCTACAGAGCTGGGGATGAGACTGGGGGATTGGATTTGGAGAAGAGGGAGAGTGGAGATCTGAAGCTCGCCTACCTGCTTCACTGGGCTGCTTCTTCCATTTTTCAGGCTTGGCTGGCAGGTTACCAGGGAATGCCTGCTGAACTTGGAGGCTGGAATAAAGTGATGAGTGAAGGGAAGGAGGCTCAGACGGGGAGGAAGTGGAGGTGTGATCCCCTAGACATGAGGGCAGATGCTGCAACATGTGCTCTGCCACAGAGCTGGGGCTAAGACCGGGGGAATGATTCCAGAGGAGAAAAGGGAGGCATGGAGATCTGCAGTTAGCCTACCTGCTTCCCTTGGGGATTGTAGGGTTTTTGAGGGGAGGGGGTTTTCTTCTGTTGTTTCATGTAAATGGAATTTGTGTTGTGTTCTTAAGTAAATAAATTGCCTTTCATACTGTTTATCAGTGGGACAAGCTTGTTTGCTTAGAGGTATTTGGTTGGGACATTAAAGAGATTGGGGAATTACTATTCAGTTATGATTTTTGAAGTTGTTAAGAAGGTATTCAGCTGTTTGGGACAAATATCTCTTTGGAAGCATGGGGGTTATTTGTAGTTTTTCATTGAATCATCCCTAATACTGTTGTCCCTCAGTTTATACAGGGCATTGATAACAGGTTCCCTAAGAGCTACCGACAACTGCAGCTGTCCTAGTTCTTTATGCAAAATAGTATAATACGTCACACGACCTACACAGAAGATCCTTTTACTTTTAAATATCATCCATAGATTGAATAGATACCTCCTAAATGTAGATATTACACCAAGACATGTTAGGCCTTTTTCTTTAGGGAATAATGACATGAAAACGTGTATCTGCCCATGCTCATTCAGCACAGACTGAATTTTTAACAGTACGGTGCTCTTTAGTTGATGTACCTATAGACATGCAATGTAGAAAACAGAGACCTGACAATATTCTCATAGCTTACTTTCTCATTTGATTTAGTTCTCTGTTCAAATGTAACAGCCTTTAAAAGATCTCTGTTAACAATTAGAAGAGACATATTTAATTACTGTCCCTTTAATACTGTGTGGGTGTTCTTAAGGTTTGCTTCTGAATAAGATCAGGTTGGTGTAATACAAATTTAGCTTGTTCTAAGAATACCAAGAATAAGTTGAGGAAAAAAATAATAGGTTCAGAATCAGAATGACAGTGGCTTAAACAAGACACAGGGATGTTTTTGTTTCAGTCCAAAAGTGGCAATTAGATTGGTATAGGAATTGTCCATTATAAGCAGCTTTAGAGACTCCTAACTATGCCATACTATTATCCTGTTTCCATTGTGGTAGTTGGCCTACCACAACCATCACATTCAGCTGGAGAAGGGAAGGAGGAAGGAAAAGAGTGTGTCCATGACATTTAGCATAAGAGTTTACATCCATTGTTCCTGCACACATCCAACTGACCAAAGCCTAGTCCTGTAGCTAGCTTTTCTAGTAACCCTGTGGAAAACTGGAAACTTGAGTTCAGTTTCAACAGTTAGACCCTCTCTGAGAACAAAGAACAAGGAGAGGATGGAATTAGCTTTTATTTGGTGAGTGTTTTATTCTAACCACACTACATAACATAGTATACCTGCTCTCCAATACTTCACTCTTTGCAGTAATATCTGGCTATCTATGGTAATTCTTTCATTAAGCAAGAATTATGTCTCAGTCAAGTCCTAAAACCTTCAGCAAGATTCAGAGGACTTTTTGAAAATAGCCATGGCCCAGGGACCCTGCAGTCAGGGTAGGCTTCAGAGACTACATGGATCCTGTGTAATTGCAAGTGAGCTAGATTGTGAATGTGGACTGAATGTCAGCTTGATAACTGAAAGCATGGAATCTGGAGTCAGACTGCCCATGCGAGACTGTGTAAATCATGGTCTTCTTAACTTGCTTATGCCCAGTTTCCCTATCTGAAACAGGGGGTAATAGTATACTTAGTTCATAGAACTGCTGCAGAGACTAAAACAAATCAGTACATTTACAGCACTTAGCGCAGATTTCACAGGATTGAATGCCATATCAATACTAGAATCAATATTGGAATTATGAAGGTAGGGAGCAAGTCAGGCTTTGTATCTGACTTTTGGTAGGGTATATTATAAATTTAATGTAATACTTCAATGATGGATGGTCTGAATAAAATTTAAACTTTATCTCTTTTAATCAAAAGTCACACAGTCCCTCATAGTACAGTTTTTTCTTAGTAGAATATATCTCAGTTGCATTTTCTTTTAAGGAATTTTTTCAAGATTGTATGTTTTTCTTATTCTAACAACAATGTGTATTTATCTCAATTTTCAATTATTTGTTATAGTTTTAATGACATTGATATCTGTTTCTGAGACCTCAATTTAAAATTTAAATGTTCGTTTGCCTTCCCAAGAGCATATTGGATTTAATACCATGTAAGGTAGTTGAGCATTAGCAAGTTGTATAAGTCTGAATTATGATTTTTGTCGTCATTATTTGAATTACAAATGCAGTTGAGCCAAATGGGAGTGTAGCGGAAAAAAACATTACAGTTTCTTAAAACAATGAAAATACTGAGTCTGTACAGCTGTTCCATTCCAGAGGAGTGATCATAGTGACAAGAAAGATGGTGCTTCAGTATTGTTAGGGACGAATTTATACTTTCTTTAATAAATTGCCAGCTGTTGTACTTTCTTTTTCGTTTTAGAAGGTTGGGTCAGCAATAAATGTCCAGTATGTTACTAGTTGCCTCCTATGGCTACACTAAACAGGAAGACGGTTGAATTTTAAGTTGCTTTTGCTAAATCTTACATAAGTAGTTTTTGGCAAATTGGCTAATATCAGATCTGGAGCTTAAACACAAGGTAGCTGTTGCTGAGCAGACATGTTTGATAACATTTTCAAGCTGTCAGTTAGCAAACTGGAATGCACTATTAAGCATCTTGTCACCACCTCATCTTCATCGCTGTTTGACTTCCTCGATGACTGATTTGCTCTCTCAATGGATTGTTTATTGTAACTGGAAGAGGAAGAATTTTATTTGACTAATCCTTCTTTTTTCCATCTGCAGAATGTGCTCAGGAAAACTGGGGATTTCCAATGTGCCGCTATCTGAAAGAGGAGAGATGGTGTTGTGGCCGTAACGCAAGAATGTCAGCATGCTTGGTATGTCCGTGTGTTCTAGAAAACATGAGAACTTTACCCAGATGCTATGCAGTTCATTATTTTTAGCTAGATTATGTCAAATGCCAGATTTTAGCAAAGCATCCCATTAATGCTTTTGAACATTGTGATTTATAAAAAAATAATGGTAAAGGTATTCAATCATCCATTTTACATGCAGCATCATAGGAAAGTTTACATGTAGTTGTTTTACTTATAATACAAAATATATCAACTGCTAGGTCTTAATCACAGAATCAGTTCAGTAGCTTGGTAGTATCTTTGTATATTTTTAAAAGTCATTCACCTTTCAATTTTCTTATAGGATAGGAAACTATTAAACTGTGAGATATGAAGTAACTAGTCAAAAACTTTATTTTGTTTGATTTGACTGGTGTTCCTAAATGTAGAACATTTTACCTTTGCCATTCTTTGTTCATGATACCATGTTTGTTAGTTTACAAAAGAACAAGCTAAAAGCTAATTATTACAGGTGAATAACTGTCACCAGGAAGCTTAAATGTTGTAGTTAGTTTGGAAGGATAAATCTAGGAAACTCAATTATAGAACCAAACCATAATTAATATTGTATTATGTATGTAAATATTCTGATGATGCATACACTTAAAAAGAAAACGATAATGGAGATATGAAATTGCTTACGTGTTTTAAGCATTTCACTATATATATGCAGACACCTCAACATGTTGGTTTACTTAAACATAGAGTAACTTTTTAAAAATAAAATACAGTTCATTGAACAATTTGTTTACTGCCCAATCATTAGATAAATGAACTCTCTCAAAGCCCATTGTTTCTAAGTTACTGGTCTGCTACTATGTGCTTATGTGTAGCTGCAGAGATTTTGTGTTTTAGGAATAGCTTAGAAACCTATTTGTTATCAAATAACCATTTACTTATGTAGAACACTTAATGGACTTCCCTAGAAATTTCTCACTTCCTTCATGTTATGTGCGAATGAAACATGCTCAGAACATTGTCAGAGTGAGAGTGGCTCTTAGAATGTCACGATCGTGGAACGCTGATAGCCAGGCCTGTCCCCTAAAGGCAAAACATTAAAATAGGCTTTTTAGAGGAGTTAACTTGATGTACAATTTCTCTAAAGTATTCACTAAAGCACACCCCCCAAACCACACCCCGTCTGTGTGGCACGAGGTAAAAAGATAGCAATAAAGAGTGAAAGAAGATTCAGCTCATGATCAGGTACTAACTAGCCACACAGTTTCTGGGAAGCTACTGATCATGTCAATGATGGTATATACGTATAAAAATGGCATTTCAAAAAGATAAGTCTGTAGATTACATTGTAATTCAAAAAGTGTTTGTTTCAGCTATCACTTAAAGAAACTATTTATGGAAACCTAGAAACCTGAAGCACAACACATTTAAAGTTTGAGTAGCACACTTACACAGATCAGTTATACTTTATCTACCTTAGGTATGGAAGGCCTATTCCATTTATAAATTATATAGTAAATATCATATGTTCAATATGATTATTAGAAATTTTAGGCAATAATATGTAAAATGTCTGTGTTCTTAGGTTTAAATGTAAAACCAATACCATAAAATTGTAAAAGTCTGTTAGAGTGTTCTATTAGTTACATCTGCGTCACTGTCACTATAGTACCTAACAGTAACAGTGTAAGAAAGCTTTATGTTGCCTCCCAGATGATCTAAATTATTGTGGCAGGGAAGGCAGGGCGAGGCAGCCCAGTTCGTGGCAGTGAGGGAAAAGTGTGCACACCCCCACACATCGGGAAGCAGGAGCGATCATGACACCACTGGTAACCAGTTCCTACTAGCTAGACTGTCTCTTAAATGTTCTACAGCCTCCCCAAATACCGCCAGCACCCAACAAGCACTCAAAACCTGTGGGGACACTGTATGCTTTAGCAAGTTCCGTTCTTGTTTTGCTAGATCAGACGAGAATGGACTTTGAATTCATACAACATGCAGATTATATTTCCCCCTAAAATACTCTTCCACCTATGGTCTATTCATGTTTGCTTACTACAAGATGAAATTTAGATATGGGAAGGTTGCTTACTGATAGAGCGCCCAGGTTCTTGTACTTAACTATGCAGGAGTGAAGCTAAAAATATGAAATTACATGTCCCATAAACTGTAAGATGTTAAGAAGTTCATAAATACATCTATGAGTGTATCATACATACGTAAGGGCAGCCATACTGAACGTTAGTCCAACTGCCATCTGTATTTCTTGCTGCTTTCTAATTTCCTTCCGCACTATTCATATAGTGTATAATCAGAATGTGACTTGTGTTTTTGTATATGTCACTTTTCTATTATAAATGAGTCCTATTTTATATACGTATGAGCTAACACTCTTTAATAATATTGGTGCTTTTAACTATGTAAACTTACATGTTATCACCTAATTAATCTTTTTGATTGTCACTATTGCAAATTCTTATAAAGTAGATTTATAAATCTTATGAGACTAAGTACGTTAGCAATCCTTGTCTTTTTTCTTTCTCCTTTAAGGCATTGGAACGGGTTGCAGTTGGCCAAGGGGTAAGTGAGAGTGTTTAATGTAGCTAATGAACAAGATAGGTTTTCTCTCAAGCCCTCTTCAGACTTGACCTGCTGTTGAACTTGAAACCCGATGGATTTTAATAAATATCACCTCTGCTTGTCACCACTGCTCATGCAAGTGTATACATGCTCCGCGTGTTTAAAGTGAACTTTCAGAACGATACATTGAGGTTGGAAGAAAGTTTCCACATTATGCTCTTCTACCAACCTTTCATTTCTTCATACTGTATTAACAATCTGTAAGTATTCCTAACAAACATTGTAGCTGACCATCACGTTTTTATGGGATCAGTTCAAGCAAAGAAAAAGGCATAACATACAATGTATTACTTCAGTGTAATCTAAAACATATTTCATTTGGTTATTTGATACCTTTTTCAATATAATTAGTCTTTAGGTGAAATAACTAAACAAGCTTGCAAGTATAAGTTTGATATAACCTAAAAAAGTTTGATATAACCTAAATATCCACAATAGTGTATTATATTTTACTGTGTATTAATGAAACTTATGAATTTTAAAAAAGCAGTTGTAAACGTTTTCATAAAATTACCCTGTTGAACCTAAATATTTTATTTAAAAAAATCTCTTGTTTATTTTTCAAGGAACATTAATGTTCATTTTTTTTAAAATAATAATTGCAATAACAAGTATTTCTTCCTCTAGGCCAGTTACTTTGATAAGTACTCTGGTGGTGGTGGCAGTTGCTTTTTTTTTTGTTTTTCATATATTAATTTTGCCTGTCTAAGGTGTCTCATGTTGAACAAAGTAAATGAAACAGGTAAAATATTTAACGTGAATACTAAGTGCTCAGTAAATGTAAACAGTTGCCATGTATTGGTGGTGCACGTCTTTTTCTTTAATCCCAGCACTCAGGAAGCAGAGAGAGGCAGAGACAGGTGGACCTGTGTGAGTTCAAGGCTAGCCTGGTCTACAGAGTGAGTTCCAGGTCAGCCAGGACTGTTACACAGAGAAACCCTGTCTCAAAAAACAAAACAACAACAAAAAAGTCAACCTGTTGTAATTTTAAAAAGCAGCGTGAGAAAGAAAGATTCCATGTGACAGAGTTCAAGTTGGGGGGGGTTAATTAGGGAAAGGATCATAAAAAGGGGAAAGGGGAGGGGTCAGGGGGAGACCAATCTCCAGGGTCAGGAGCAGCAGGAGAGAGGAAAGACAGAGACAGATACAGAGAGACAGAGAGAAACACAGAGAGAGAGAGACATACACACACACACACACACAGAGAGAGAGAGAGAGACAGACAGACAGACAGACAGACAGACAGACAAGGAGAGAGACAGGGAAAGAGAGAAGATAGGAGGTGGGCAGGGCCCTTTTAAAAGGGAACACAGTGACTCTGCACAGGTGGTGCTCTTAGTGGCTGCAGCTGTGGGTGAATCCTGTCAGAAGCCCAAGGGCAGGCCAGGACAGATGTTGTCTTCAACAATAGTAATTATTATCTTAAAAATAATAGTTAAGTCTTTTTAGAAAGTAGTGTCAAAACTTCTTGTCAGTTGTGGCAGTGAATACATAGAACTGTTAGTTATTTGTGACTGTTATGCCCTGATACGCAGGAGGCAACTACATGTAAAGTAACAAATTTTAGAATTCCAATCATGATTTCCTACTAGATACCCTTAACATCCACAGTGCAGTCTTCCTTAGTGGCTCCCGAGGGCCCTGGGAGAGTGAGAAGCCTTTTGTCATATAGGTATCCACTAATGTGGTTGCTTTTTAACTTTTCCAAGATTTTGCTCATGCTTCCATTCAGTCTGAGGAGTTGGATATTATCGTCACCTTACATAAGAACATGATATGCAGCGGGAGTTTAATGATATAGTCTAGCTCCCTAAATTAATTGCAGAACCATGACTTGTAGCTTGTACCCTTTGCCATGGAGCTGTGTATACTTCATGCATCAGGGTATACACTAGTTTTAAAATGCACTAAAGGTGTTAAGTGGCTGTATCCCTTGTGCGGGAAGGAAATCCATTCCAAGCCACACTCATTTCACTCCTAGAACAATCAGTCAGGCACAGGCTTCTTGGGAAATAGGAAAGTCTTCTCGCTCCCTCCCCACTGTATTTGCTAGGATGGGTCAGCCTAGTTATTCCAACAATAAGCATTTGAAGGCGTTTCGTAATTCATTTCCCTCTCCCTTAGGAAACAACTGCTAAGCTTTTATTTGCTCAGAGTAACTTGGGAATGATAATTGATTTTTGTCCCATTTTTTTGTAGGTTTACTGCCTTAAAACAAAGACAAAATTTTATTTAGTGTTTGCCTCCTGCTGAATTCAAACATATTTATTCCAGTTAAAAATAAATTAAAAAAAAAAAACAAAGCTGGGAAGATAACCCGGTTTATAAAGTGCTTGCCTTCCATGCCAGATAACGTGAATTCAAATTCCGTATTGAAAAGTAGGTATGGCAGCCTGCACTTGTAATCCCAGCTCTGGCAAGGCAGAGGCAGCCCCTGCACTTGCCAACTTCCCGGCGCAGGCTACTTGGTGAGCTCTAAACTAGCAAGAGACCCTGTTCTTACGGAAAGGTAGATGTGGGCTGTTCCTGTGGAGAAACACCCCAGCTTGCCCGCTGCATGTATGCACACACAGCCACACAAGAACACACATATGCATCCAGAGAAACTAAATTAAGATTGCAATCTGTCACTTCATAGGAGAACAGCCTTTGAAAAGACTAAAATACTCATCCCACTGAAATCTATCCTTAAAACTTGACCATGCATTGGGCAGTAATCTTTGCTTATATTTTTCTCTTTTTAAAATAATAATTTTGCATACATTCTGGCTCGTTCGTTGCTAGGATTATTTTTCTTTATTCCTGTACTGTCAGTATCATGAACTCTCTTGAGGTAAAGTGACACTTGGGTGACTTGTGAAGAGAAGCTTTTTCCTTTGAGAGAAGCTTTCCCGCCAGCCTGGTTCTAGAGCCGCATCAGTCCCAAATAAACACACAGGAGGCTATATTAATTATGAAGCTGTTGGCCTTGCTTGCTTCTTATTGGCTAGCTCTGACTTAAGTAATTACCCCATAATTGTTAATCTAAGTATTTCTCTTACCGGAGAATAGTTCCGGGCTCCTACCCCTTGGCGGTTACATGTTGACTCTTTGTGTTTCTCCTTCCCAGAGTCCTCCTGGACTCCTAGTCCCTCCTATCTAGATTCCCTATAGGCCAGACAGTGCTTTATTGACAAATGCACAGGACTTCTCCCCAACAGTGACTTTTGTATTTTTTTAAGTTCAGTTCCTAGTACCCGTATTAGACAGCTCACAACCTCCTGTAATTCTAGCTCCAGGGTTTTCAACACCTCTGGGCCTCTGTGGCTACGTTTACACATATCTGAATGCAGACACACACTTGCATATGATTTAAAGAATAAAATAAAACTTGAGGGAAAAAACTTGGACCATTTATGTGACACTTCCTTTTTTTTCTCCTCAAAGCAGTGTCTTCCATTTCCTTTGTCCTTTTTATCTCCACTCTTCATCTCTGCAGTGCTGTGATCTTTCATGCTTTGGACATATGATTTAAAACATCTCACATAGGTGCTGTCTTTCCCAGTGTGAATCCTGAGTTCTATCTCTAATCCATTCCCATTAGGAAAGGGCCTCATGATGTTCTCTTTCACACACGTCCTTCCTGACTCTGCTGGGTTTCAGAGATGATGTGGCTGACGTCAAAGTTTATTTATACCCTCATAGCTGATAAGTAATCCATTTGGAGTCATGGCTAATTTTTTACTGATTATGACTTTTATTCCCCATTTACTGATTATTCCTTTTGTGGTTTCTTGTTTTGTTTCAGAATTATTTTCTCAGTGAGAGTTAGTCTCAGGGTAATCCTTTAATTTACAGTGGAAGAATTATAAAAATCCTACTCTTTGTTTATCAACAAAGTCAGGTTATAACATTTTTGAGTTCCCAAGTCTTTAGTATTAATTTTGTTTCTGGGTTTCATTTATTTATTATTCTTTTGTTTGTTTGTTTGTTTTTGAGACATGGTTTCTCTGTGGCTTTGGAGGCTGTCCTGGAACTCGCTTGGTAGTCCAGGCTGGTCTCGAACTCACTGAGATCCGCCTGCCTCTGCCTCCCGAGTGCTGGGATTAAAGGCGTGCACCACCAACGCCCGGCTTATTTATTATTCTTATACACATATCTGCGTGTGTTTTTTTTTCCAGGTTCCCACCGAATCACTCTTCTATCGTGCTGTTCTTCAGAATATCATTAAAGATTATTATGGCATCACCAAATGGTATGAGAATTTAACTTTGTAATTATGCTGGGTCCCAGAGGTAGATAATTTTCCTAGGACATGAAATACCTTACTTCCATAGCAAGCAACCAAATAATGAGTTTATAAATAACTGTATTATATTGTTAGATAAAGGAATTTTTAATATTTGAGTAAATTTATAAAGGATAAATTATAATTAGTTTTTGTTAATGTATGTTTTGAAAAAAATTTTTTTCCGAAAGAGAACATGACATTTATCAATAATTACTCAAGGATAATCAGTGTGGCCAAAAATTGGCCCAAACAAAGAAGAACAGGGATGTCCCTAACTTTGTACATTTCATCGTCTGTAACAGTGGAATAACAGTGCAGCCTCAGTGGTTATCTGGAAGCAGCAAATGTGATCATGAAAGTAAAGCAAGTGTGTGGCAGTCAGTTAGAAGTGAATCAATGGTGCTTCCTCCATTAATAAAAGCATCTTGCTAATACTCCACTTGTTCTGTCAATGGGATTGAATAGCCCTTCCAGTGAAGCACTGTAACTAAAGCCAAAATTTCCATCTCTGTTGACTCTGACACACATTGACACTCACATATAGCATAAGAGTCCATGGGAAACCCAAGAAATGCATGATTTTACTGGGCTGGTCTCCAAATAGAGACTTCTGAATGCAAACACCCAGGTTTACAAGCCTCCACTGAGTAGATTGTAAATTGGACAAGGCATCTTGTGGCATGTTTTTGAGCTCATGGAACAGCAGAGCAGACATATCCAATGAGGAAAACTAGGAGCTGGGGTGTGGAGGGTATGCCTACTCAGTGTTGGGAAGAATATACAATGGATTTTCAGTATATGCAACCCTCCTTCCCCAACCCTTCCCTTCCTTTCCTCCACATGCAACTTTTTGCCTTTTTATCCCACCCACCCCCAATAAGGCTAGTTTGTGCTGCCCAGATGCTCTTGGATGTGTGCCCTTCTACTGGAGTGTGTTTGACTTATCAGGCAGGGGCTACACCAACTAACCCTTCCTTTCCCAGCCCCTCACTAGTGCTATTAACTCCTCGGTTAGTGGAACCTTGTGCTCACCTTGGGCTTACATGGTCTTGTGCATACTGTCACAACTGCTGTGAGGTCATATGTGCGCTGATGTATTCAGAAGACACTTTTTTCTTGGAGTCATCTACTCTCTGGCTCTTAGATTCCTTCTACCCCTCCTCAGCATGGTAGGGTGCTGTCAGTTAAGGCTGGATAGAAAACTGGCACTCTAATGTCCCTTGTTAAAAAGTACCCTGTCACTAACAACCTAGCTTTACAGAAACCACATGAGAAACTTGACTTCCTCCTACCAAGCTACCCAGCACTGATGGGTTGCACCAAAGGCAATATAATAATCAGAATTTACACCATTTCTCAACAGTTACTAGCTACTTCACCACCCTTATTTTTTGCTGTATTGGGAATTAACCCTAGCATGCTAGGCTAACATTTTACTCCTGAACTGCATCATTATTGACTTACCCATTTGATTCTATTCTATGATAAGAACCATACTCACCTAGGTGAGAAACAGGTACTTTTTTCTGTTGTAATTATGAGTTAGCAAGTTTTATCTTAATTTTTTTTTCAGTCTGACCATATAATAAAATGAAACCCAGGTCTTTGAAACTTTCTCACAAAATTACAGCAGCTCTTTTAATCTGTAATGTGTGGTCAAGCTAAAAATTAAAAGCACTGTGTATTTTAATCTGAAATGAAATTTACAGATTTTACAAAGTGGGTCTCTTAAATAATGTTTGAAGTCTTCGGTGTGTATTAGCATAGAAAAGGTACAAGATCTTGGCTCTTTAATGATGTCGGAGAAACTGAGCTTCCACACATGTTCTTTTCTTGTTCGTTTTTATTTATTTAGCGTATATCGACTCCATTGTGTCCTAGAAATCCATATAGCTGTCTGTTGGAGGGCGCTGTGGGCCTGCTGCCATGCTCCTATGGTTGTGCTTTTGGAAAAGTGGGTCGTGTTGGATTGCGTTGAGTAGAATTTTAACTAGATCTAGTGTATTCTCTTTTACTAAAAGACAAAACAATTCCTCTTTAGCATGCTGACCATGCCTTATTCTCACAGAGGACTCTCTTTTAATCTGCCCTTAATTTCCTGTCATTTTTCGTTCAGACAATCATTGCATTTTTCTAACTTTTTGAAATGTTTGATAATTCTCCACCTTTATAAACCCAAACTGAAAGATATTTGTTGTCTCATTCAAGGCCACTTCTAGCCTGTTACAAACATCCTTTCCACTAAGATCATCCTTTGCTCTCTGAGCAGCTGCCCATGCACCCTGGCTGCACTAGACCAGTGCATTCCTGGGTAACTATGTTTGTGCCTCCTAGGCTGTCTGGAACCCTTTTATCTGCCAGCTATATTCTCTTCCCCATTCCTGCCACCACTTTCCCCCTAGAGCACGCAGCGATGAGATCCTTAGTGTCCTTGAAATCCCACACTGGAGTTTGTGTGTCTCCTCACCTCTTCTTCCTTCCGGAGTACTTAAACTGTGATCAGCAGCTTTTAATGGTATTCTTAGTAAAAGGATGTTTCCTTCTTCCTCAACCCCTTTATGAATTCCTATCTGGCCACACCCTTTAAAGGAAAAGCCTGAACCACATTTTCCTTGTTGATCATTGTCGCGTCTGCTGCGCGGCCTGTGTCCGAGAACGTGCGGAGGGTGTCGGGGATTGACAACACAGAGACTCGTTCAATGATATAAAGAAAACTTTAAACAGGCTCCAAAAAGGTTCAAGAAAACCTCCTAAGAAAAGCTCCCACCAGAGAAGCTTCTGCTCTCTCCTCTACCCTGGCTGGTTCTGCTCTGACTCCAGAGGTGGATGTGTGTGGGTTTTGAAGGTGCGGTTAGTCTTTGGACAAGGTCGAGGTCAGGGCGGTTTCCGTGGGAAGGCCTTTTCCAGGAACTTATTGTGTCGTTTTTAGTAAACATGTTTTTACTAAACATTGTCTTACAGCTGCCTACTCCCAGGCAGAAGGGGAAGTGGGTCTCTGCTCAAGGTCTGGTGTTCCCACAGATCGTCTCCCAACTTAATTGTGGTCTTCTAGGTTTCCTTCCCTTTACAACAACAACAACAACAACATCTCTCTTGAATATATGCTGCTCTCTTTTACTTACCCCACTTGAGCGGACCACCCTTTCCAGAAGCCAGAAGGTCCCGTGTTGCAAATGCCACAGTCATTTCTCTAGCCCCATCTTTCCTTGCTGTCATCTGTGTTGCCCATAGTCTGCTGTTCGGTGTTGAAGCATATTGTTTCCTATTCTAGTGAAGCGCTGCTTCCCTTAACGTCCCTTGAACATGCCAGAGACACTTAGGGCTTTGCATCTGATCTGCCCTGGCTGCGATTCTTCCTACAGACACTCTCCTGGCTCTCTCACTCCTTCCTTCAGCGTCGTCATTTGCAAAATATCAGTCACCCTCACTCACTCCTCGCTATCTGTTTTGCCTCCCCTCCCCCCAAAAAACTAAAATTTAAGAGGAAAAAGGAAAAAAGAACAGGAAACTGTAAAAGGAAAAATCTCATCATAGAAGCTGTAGGGATCACACAGTAAACCCTTTGTCCATGCATATTTACTTCCAAGTGGCCATGGCAAAGCGTCATTTGACTGGTTCAAGGCCTCTGGTTTCTGCTACACTGTCAAAGCTGGGCCCTCCCTGGAACCCGTCTTGGAAATCCTTTTGTTGCTGTGTGTCATGGAGATCCTGCAGCTTTAGGTCTGCAGGACCAGCCCTTCACATGCTCCCACAGATCATAGATGGGTGGATGCTGTGGTGGCCACCTCATAACCCTGGTTCTGGACCTAAGTTGTTGCAGGGTTGCTCAGCCCACCAGCTCTTCCAGAGCTCTCCAGCATTGCCCAGCTAGCCCAGCCCTTGCCGTGATGACCAAGGGGTGAGGCCAGTTCTCCTGCTCTCACGCCCTCAGGGTCGGCACTCCAACGCTTGGACCATCATGGTTTGTTACTATGTTACCCTGGCAGGGTGTAGGGCCCACTTTCCCAAGTGCTACAGGTGGTAAGGGAAAGGGTCAGCTCCTTCACCCTCACCATCACACGGCAGATGAGGAGGGTGTGGCCAGCTGTCCCGCTCTGGCCCCCACACCTCCACCAGCAGGGCCAACTCAACTGTGCTGCCCAGGTGAGGAACAGGGCCTGCTTTCCCAAGGGCTGCCGCTGATAAGGGGGAGGATGGGCTCCCTTGTTTGTCTCCGTCGGCTAGGGTTCAGGGGGACATCTCTTCCCTGCCCATTCTGCCACATGACAAAATGGGCACAATGCTCACAACTTCCAGGTTGGTTCACCCCCACCTCTGCAAACAGGGTCAGCCTAGTTGTGCTGCCCAGACGAGATGCAGGGCCATTTCCCGTTCTCCCTGAGTGTTGCAGCTGGTAAAGTAGAAGGGGAGAGATCTTTCCCTAGCTCCCATCACCGCTCCACAGAGGAGGGAGATGGTACCAGCTATGCCCCCTCACTCCCTCAGGGCCAGCTCACCTGCACCCCTGTCTACTGTGCCGCCCTGGTCAGGCACGGGGCCCCTTCTCCAGAGAGCTGCAGTTGGGGAGGAGTTGGGTCAGGTCTCCCACTGCTGCACCTTATCCTCACCCAGGCCACCACATGGTATACAAGAATGGCAAGACCCACTGTCCCATTCTCATACCCTCAGGGCCTGCTCGCCCATGCCCCTGTGCACAGACCAGGGTGCATCATGGGCATGAACCCAGAAATGGGCCCAGCAGAAGTCCAGGCCCAGACATCACCATGGCCCTGGGTGGCCATCAAGCCACCAGCCTTATCCTACTCCTCACCTCTTTTGTCTCTTCAGATATGCCTCTGTCCACAGGACACGAACCATCCTGTCTCTCTCCCACACTACACCGTACTTTTACTCACCCCAGTAGTGCCCATCTGCCTAGCTGCCAGGTACCAGCTGGGTCAGCGATGTCTCCTCAGAGCCCAGGG